AAAAATTTAGGTACATGTAAAATTTAAATTTCGTGTAATAGTCGGAGTACAATTAATGAAATCTGTTCTAAATATAGGAGTGTATGACTCATCTGCTATATGGATATTTTCTCCTTTAATACAAACAATATAGGTTAAGAAATTTTTACGAAAGCCTACAATGTATTTATTAGTTACAGAATTTAGAATCCAAATATCAAAATTGAAAATAGTAGGGAGAAAAAAATACCTAATTTTACTATATTTGGTGCACTAATAGTGGATGAAAAGTTAAGTTGAGATAAAATACGCTTCAGATTTTGAATATTTTCGTTTGAAAAAGCTCCAAATGTTGGTGTGTTAGGTGTTTCACTTGCTAAATTTGTTGAGCTCTTGTAGGTCAACTTTTCTTTTTATCACGACCTCTAGTTGGTCGACCATGCAATTTTTAGTAAGTTTCCTTAGTGTGTCTCGTCTTGTCATAATATTCACAATTTCGTTGGTTTGAATTGATCAGATTGAGCAACTAATTCAGTTTTCTTAACTAGTGCTGTATAAAGCATGACATTTCTTTTATTTTTTTCTTCTTGAACATAAACATAAATTTGTTATAATGAGGGAAGAGTATTCTTATCAGACATCTAGATTCGTATATGATCATATTCGGTTTTTGAATCAGTCAAAAAGTCATAAATTCGCTAATTCTCTATCAGTTTATGAATTTTGATTGCATTTCAAGCACAATCTGTCTGAAAATCTTGATGGTAATCTAATTGCTGGTACAGTCCATTGAGTTCGGAAAAATATTGAGAACTATTCATCTCTTATTATTTTGTGTCATGAATCTTATTTCGAAGTTCATAAATTTAGGCATCATTACCCATTTGAGTATGTGATAGATGCTTCATTTAATATTTTTGCTGTGATGTTGAACAATAGATAGGTTCGGGTAATGTGGAGTTGCATGGAATTGATAAGTCAAGATATTAGTGAAGAGTTTTTAGAATCACATGTGTTATATTTCAAACTAACAATATTTGGTTTTTTCATATCAACAGTAATGTAATCCTGTAATCCTCTAGTTTTAATAAATAATAAAAAAGATATTGATCAAGTAAGATAATTATTTCCATCAAATTATATGGACTGATTTGTAATAAGGAGTTATCGGAATTAGAAACAATAATTTTTTTTACTTCTATCATTTTTAAAGTACTAAAAATAGGGAAAGAATAATACCTAGTAACTAATCACATAAGTAAAGGACAAACTTTCTAACCAGCACCAAAGAAGGAAATATGTTGCAAGTCTGAAGATAGTTACTAGAAACAGAGCGGTCCAGCAAGGAAGCGGTAGCAGATGCGGCGGCAGATGCGGCGGTACTTGGAAAAAGGATTAGAAACGACTGGTTGGAGTGGCTTGCGCACGCAGAAATTGAATCGGCGCTGGATCACAAAACTTGAAGGCGGATGCACACAGAGGAGTTGGATCAGTGTTGGTATTGCGAAACTAGACGCGGATGCGCATGGAGGAGCTAGATCGGCGTGGGTATTGCGTAACCAGATGCGGACGCGTGCGGAGGAGCTGGTTCGGTGCCAGATCTCGAAACTAGAAACAGCTTATGTGCGGAGAAACCTGATCTGTGTCGGATTGCGAAATCTGTTCCGGTCCGGTCAAATTTGCGTGACAGAGGATAATATGCGCCAGATTTGTAAATCCAATCCCCGTGCGCATACTAGAAGGCTGATTCGAGCCAGAGGAAAAGATTTATGGCGGCGTGTGTGACTCATGCGCACGGAAAAGACCACTGGAGTAGGCGCGGGAGCCTGGCGGTGAGGCAAACTGGTGGTGGTGGGAGTAGATCTTTGATAGATAGGTACTAACTCAACCCATTGTACTATTTTAGGGTTTGAAGGAAACTCTGAAATTAGAATCCTAAAATAACTTTATTTGACTTTGATATCATAAAGATTTTGAAGAAAAATATTAACTTTATTTTCTAATACAATTTATGTTGTTATATTTGGGGTATATATAAAATTTTTGTTTACAATGAGAAAATTAATATTATAATAGGGATTCCAATTAATTACATCATTATGGGAAAGATTATACAGAAAAAGGTATCTTAACTAATTGAATAACATAATATTCTAGTTAACATTTATATGGATGAATTTGCATCTTCTTGCCGTTTTTCAGAGGTAAACCTGAGTGGTTGTTCCTAAATACAATTGCTGTTGAGAATATAGAATCTATGATGTGTCTTAGCATTCTAAATCATTCTCTCAGAACTTAGTTCCTGAAATTCAATCAGGTTTGAACCAAATTTTAGCAACACAATTCAGCTTTTAATTGAGTTTACTAACAGTTAATAGGTGCAATTTAATTTTAGGAACAAAAAGTACTGTATCTAATATTATATCTCTGGTTAGAAATACTGAACCCTTTCCAACAACTGGTAGGGTTTATAAGTAGTGGAGATTCTGGAATCACTAGTCATGTGGTCTGAAGCACAAGAATCTACAATGCAAGTGTTGTCCTATTTTTGCCTTAAAGTTATACCAGTTATGAAGTTACTTGAGTGAGCCATTGACCCAGTATCATCCTCTGGGCTGTTTATTTAATGGGGATTGATTAATTTTTGCAAACACTCCATGCTCCTTACTAAATAACATTGTTTCTGTTGGAGTGAGAGTGTTCCCTTGCAGCTACATTCCTTTTGCTTCCCTACCGTTTGGATTCCTTGAAGGTCTCCAATCTGCTGGTTTCCCATGGAGCTTCCAGCAGATTTCCCTTGTATGTCCTAGTCTTTGATAATGATCACACCAAGGTCTTTGTTTCTTCTGTTGTTTCTCTCCTGCCTTATCCGGCTGTTTTGGGCAGCAAGTACAGAACCTTTAGGTGTTTGCGGAGGATTGAAGCTTATAAGCATGACTTTGTTTCTGTTTTCCTCCTTGCATACCTTGAAGAATGCCTTGCAGACACTGGGTATTAATTTCGAGCCCAAAACCCTCCCTTAGACATCAAGTTCTTTGTTGAGTTCGAGCAAGAACTTGTAGAGCCTTCTTCTTTCTACAATATGTATATACCTCAAGCCATCGTCGAGAGAGTTCCATTTATGTTCTTTGAACCTGTTGAGCTGCTGCCAATTGTGGGTCAAGAGGTTGAAGTATTGGGTTACGCTGAGTCCCCTTGCTGCAGGTCATGGAGTGTGCGCTCCACTGCAAACAACTCAGATGAGTTGTCTACTTTGAAGTAAATTTCTTTTGTTACGTCACAAATCTCCTTTGCAGACCAAATGAAAGGAAGTACTCCCTAATTTCGTTTGTCATTAAGTTAATGAGCCGGGAAATCACCATATCTTTTTCAGTTTTCTAAGCTCAATATTTTGGTTCTTTGCTGGTGGAACTGTGGCTCCAGTGAGATAATTGTCCTTCCCCTTTCCACATACAAATATCATCATTAATTGCAATCACGGGAGATAATTCTAGCCATTTAGTTTATGTCCGGTGATGGACACTCCGGGATTGTCCATTCCTCTGTTAGTTACCAAAAAATTTTCAGGGATGGATGTGACTTTCAGATGCTGAGGATTGCTCGCTGGTCACTCCTTATTTTTTCATTTTTGTGATGGTTTACTAACAAGGATGAAGGTGATTTTGAGATGGCTCTGATACCATGTTATTTGATAATTCTATAGCTTGATTTCATAAGGTTACTAGAATTACATGTATAGAGAGTTACAAGAGTTGTGACCCGACAATTTAGGGAAGACTCCTATTCTATTGAATCCCCTAGGAAAGAAAGAGATTTACACTTATTTTATGGGATCCTAGGATCAAATCCAGATGCTCGTTATCAGCTCTTACAATCTAGAAAACAAATATTCTCCTACAATCTAAGAGAAATCTTCTCCGACAATCTAGGAAATAAATCTTCTTAGAGTCAGCTCTATTTATGACTTCTACACAGAATAACAGCACATCTCAAGTCCTATGCAAAATAGCCATAGACATTCCTAAAGAAGCCATGAACTTAAGCCCACAAAGAAGCAAAGATATTTTTCTCCTGTTATTTATTAGTAGCATATTGAATTTTCATTTGTAGACACTAATTTAACTGGTTAAATACTGTACTGAATTTCAAAATTAGGAGATTAATTTGAACTAAGCCCCTTCAGTTTCCACTTATCTTCTTTTATAGTTCTCCATGTAAATGTGGAGAATGACAACTAGTCAAGTGACTGTTTCACCTTTTGAATTGGCTGGTCTATTCAAAATTTCATAACAGTTTTCAGTTGTTTTGCTTCAGCCACAAGATTTAGGGGTGTTTACGTTGTCAGGATGAATCAGAGTGCTGTCTTTGAATTGAAGATTTGAGAATCTAGGCAAAAACAGGATATTGTTACTCATGAAATTCTTGAGACAAGTGGCTACGTTGGCCTTTCACGGTTAGTAGTATTTCAAAAATGTACTCAATGATTGGGTTAATGTTGGTTAGTGGAAAGATCACTATAATGGAAAAAATTATGTGATCAACAGGGTTTCTATGAATTGTTCATAAAAATAAATATCACTCTTCTTGAATAACCTTATAGACAGGCCAATGAGCAAAATTGTTGACAGAGGTGTT